TTAATTTTATCTAGCATGATAGTTTGATTGCATTAAGTTTGTATATCTGTTTTTAAGCAAACTGCATCTTGACTTGAATGTGTCTCACAAATTTTGTTTTAAAACATAATTGTTAAGCTACTTGGGAAATGTTAAAGTTTAAGGAGACTGACTTCAGTTCTGTTGTGCTGCTTTCTAAATCATCCTGGTTTTGTAAGTGCAACTTTTTAGAGATTAGTTTTACCTTGGCTGTAATCCTATCACATTAAGGGACCTACTAGAATTGCAGATCTAGCAAGCAGTCTCTGTATGCACTGCATCTGAATTTGGGTACTGGGTATGTGGTCTTATTCTCACACTCCCTGCATCCATAAGATTTCACCCTCCCCCCCCCCACCAACCTTAAATTGTGAACTGCTTTTTCATTTGTGTGTGTTTGTGTATTTTTAAGAGAATGGTTTTATTACCTTGATTATTTATCAGTTCCTAGGGTTTCCATTTCTTCAGAGTTTCCAAATGAATGGAACTATCTGGATATACATAGCTGAAGGTGGTGGGCTGCCCAGATCTGAGCCAGTGTAATATAGTACTGGGCTGGTACTGGGCTGGAGAATTGGTTGGTCCAGGTCCCAGTCCATACTCAGTGGGAGACTTCAGACTGAGAGCAAGTGACTGGCCCATCCTACCTCACAGGGTTGTAGTTGTGAGGATAAAATGAAGTGGAGCCTGCTGGGCGCGCCCAGGGCCGTCGGCCTTGGGCTGACGGCCAAAGGGCAGTGTGCTGCCGTTTGGGGCCACAAGGGGCTGGTCCGGGCCAGAGACTCTGCCTTTCCTTTCCTTTCCCCTTCTTCTTTTGAGTGACAGTGTTTTATTTGGTTTTAACTTGGGATGGTTTTACCTGGGGAGTATTAGTGCATCACCATAGGCGTAGTGATGGGCAGGGGGAGGTATGGCGTTAGGGATCTAACTGGCCAGCATAGGAGAAGAAGGGACCAATGTTTGATACCGGTCCCATCTTCTGGTTATTCCTGCCCGGATAGTTGGTACAACACCGATCACTCCCAGAGGGAAGGGGAGAGGAGGGGGGTTGCATTAATTCACCGAGTCAGCATTCCCCTCATGGGGCTTCCTGTCCCTTCAAGGCCAGGCCTTGAGTGTTTGCATCTGATGTTGGGCGACTGAGACATATTAGGGACTCTGCTGGTGTACCGTGCACCCTCTGCCCAGCAGACTATCTGCCTGAGCTGACGGAGATCGTCTCGGATCTGGTGTTGGGGACCTGGGAGACTTCAACTTCCATGCCGAGGTACTTCTATCTGGGGCAGCTCAGGACTTCATGGCTTCCATGGCAGCCATGGGGCTGTCTCAACATATCACTGGCCCAACCCATGAAAGAGGTCACACGCTTGACCTGGTTTTCTCAATGGGGTGGGAAGAAGGTGGCCTGGAAGTGAGAAACTTGACCTTAACTCCTTTGTCATGGTCAGACCACTTCCTTGTGAGGTTTGTGCTCAGGGCTAATTCCTCCCTCCAGAAGGGTGAGGGCCCTATTAAGATGGTCCGCCCTTGGAGCAAGATGGATCCAGATGGATTCCTGAGGGCTCTGGGGGATTTTCTGATTGAGAAAGCTGGTGTTCCTGTTGATGTCCTGGTCGATTTGTGGACTAGGGAGATGACCAGGGCAATTGACATGATCGCTCCTAAGCATCCTTTCCCGCCTGGCAGAGCCCACTTGGCACCATGGTATACACCTGAGTTGTGGGCAATGAAGCAGGTTGGGAGACGGCTAGAGCGCAGGTGGAGGAAATCTCGGGACGAATCTGACCGAACACACTTACACGCTCATTATCAAGCCTATGTTGTGGTGGTGAGGGCGGTGAAGAGGCAGTTCTTCTCCACTTTCATTGCTTCCTCACAGTGCCATCCAGCGGAGCTTTTCTGAATAGTGCGAGGTCTGACACATGCTGGCCAGGAAAATGACGTGGTCACACCTTTGGCAGCCCACTGTGATGACTTTGCCCAGCACTTTAAGGAAAAAATTGCTCAGATTCGCTGCTATCTGGTCTCCACAGTTGATACTGTTCCAGTACAGGAAGTGTCCAGAGCTCCGTTTGGTCCATCTTTAATGGATGAGTTTCAGTTATTGCGGCCTGATGATGTGGACAAGGTACTTCCTACTACCTATCTTCTTGACCCTTGCCCTTCCTGGCTACTTAAGGAGGCCAGTTATGGGATTGGTCCCTGGGTCCAGGAGGTTATTAATGGCTCACTGAGGGAGGGCTGGGTCCCAGCCCCCTTGAAGGAGGTGGTGATCTGGCTTGTCCTGAAGAAGGCATCCCTGGACCCAGAGGTGGCCGCCAACTTTAGACCAGTGGCCAGTATTCTGTTTTTGGGCAAAGTGTTAGAGTGGGTGGTAGCAGGACAAATCTAGGTGCTCTTGGATGAAACTGATTATCTGGACCCATTTCAGTTTGGCTTCAGACCCAGTTATGGTACTGAATCTGCCTTGATCGCCCTGTATGATGACCTGTGTAGGGAGAGGGACAGGGGGAGTGCATCCCTGTTGGTTGTCCTGGACCTCTCAGCAGCTTTCGATACCATTGACCATGGTATCCTTCTGAATAGGCTGACTGACTTGGGAGTAGGGTGCGCTGCATGGCAGTGGTTCCACTCCTATCTGGCCGGTCGATTCCAGATGGTGGTGATGGGGGTCTATAGCTCTTCGCCATGGCAGCTTTGCCATGGAGTTCCACAGGGCTCAATTTTGTCCCCCATGCTATTTAACATCTACATGAAAGTGCTGGGAGAGGTCATCAGGAGGTTTGGGCTGCGGAGTCATCAGTATGCTAATGACACCCAGCTCTACCTCTATCTGCTCCAGGTGAGGTGGTGGCTGTACTGAACCGGTGCCTGGATGAGGTAATGGGCTGGATGAGGGATGATAAACTGAGCCTCAATCCAGATAAGATGGAAGTCCTGTTGGTGGGTAGTGCGGGTCTCCAGGTAGGTGATTTTGACCCAGTTCTGGATGGGGTAGCACTCGAGCTTGGGAGTACTGCTTGACCCAGAGCTGTCACTGGAGTTTCAGGTGGCGGCGATGGCAAAGAGTGCTTTCTTACAGCTTCAGTTGATCCATCAGCTGCATCCTTACCTGCATGAGCACTCCCTAGCAACCATGATACATGCTCTGGTAACTTCCCACCTGAATTACTGTAACACGCTCTACGTGGGGCTGCCCTTGAAAATGGTCCGGATACTGCAACTGGTACAGAATAGAGCTGCCCGGCTGCTGATGGGGACCGGCCGTTATTCTCACATAATGCCAGTCCTCTACCAGCTCCACTGGCTTCCAGTTGAAGTCCGGGCCCAATTCAAGGAGCTGGTTTTGACCTGTAAAGCCCTAAATGGCTTGGGACCAGGATACCTGAAGGAACGTCTCCTTCCTTATATGCCCTCATGCCCCTTAAGATCTGCGGGAGAGGCCCTGCTCTGGTAACCCTCCCTGAAGGATGTAAAAAGGACATCTGCTTGGAGTAGGGCCTTCTCTGCTGTGGCGCCCAGACTCTGGAATGTACTTCCCAGAAGTACGCCTGGTGCCAAGTTTATACTCTTTTCAGCGCGAGGCCAAAACCCTTTTATTTAAACAGTATTTTAAAATTTAACAGCTTTTAAGTTTAGTTGCTCCGTTTGTTTTGTGATTTATTGTTTTGTTCTGTTCTCTTTATTGAGATTGTTGTTTTTAATTGTTTTAAATATTGTAAGCCTTCCTGAGACCTTGTGTAATAGGATGGCATACAAAAGCTTTTAATAAATAAACAAACTGCTATGGATTTCTTACAAGAGGAAAAAAAGGTGGGATATAAATGCAATGAATTAATAAAGAAATTCTATGGGGCTATCATAGTGACATAATTTTTTACATTTTGGTCATTTTTGTATAATTAATAGAAATATAGCCAATTAAAAATCTTCTGCTTAGTCTTGAATGTTACAGAAACGTAAGGTATTTGTGCATGCAAGCAAATGTTACCTGTAATTTTTCCATTATTGATCAGCATCTTTCTTTATTTTTTAGATTTGTTTTGGCACCGACATCTAGGTTGTAGTCTTTATATGCAGAAGTAAATTCCAATGGGATATATACATATTGCACTCCACTCTTGAAAATAATACTTGGAAATAATGTTAGTCCAATTGCACACACTCCAGCATTTCACCAGTGCTCCAAATAGATACCTGCCCAGATGTGGGATGTGCAGCTTCAGTACTTACTCATTCAGTAGTATAAGCAGAACAGAATGTTAAGCCCTGTGTGCTAGATTCTGTAGAATTGCAGGCTGTTTTGTAACTATAATTGTCCATTACTTAACACATGCATGAGGATTTTGCCCCCTTACAATAGCCTTTGCAAATAAGGCTAAAAAGCTACTAAGTTAACCTTACACTAATTTTCCCTGCTTTCATGCAACCACTTTAGCACATGAATAGCTATGTGGGGGAAACCAGCTTTCCCCACTTTTTAGCAACATTTCTTCCTGATTGCCTGCATGTAATTCTTGCTCGGCACAGGAATGCTATGAGTAGCTGTTTACAAACTGAAGGCGTTTCTCTGAAACTGTAATTTGGCCACACCTGATGAACATCATCTGCTGGTTCCCTCCAGGAAGTTGTTAGGTTGCAATTTCTAAATTATTATCTCTATACTTTTAAATTGCAAACTTCAGTGCAAGATAATGGATGTTAATTTTGAACTTCTGGTGACAGAGACCAAGAAATGGTGATGTTTGGTTCATTTTATTTTCCAAATGGAGTAGGAAATTCAACAGCTCAGTCAGAAACGGCAGTGTTGTTTTACCCTCTGAGGTGGCTCCTTGGTAGCATGTTTAAGTTCTGACAGTAAGTGTGATGAGTTGTGTCTGAGCTTATATGAAAACAACCTGAGATAAATCTTGAACCAATGAGCCAGTTTCTCTGTTAAAATGAACCTGATTTTTCTTTTCCGTTTTCATATTGTCTCTTAGGTGGGCTGTATCAAACAGAGAAATGCTAATGGCACAGAATAGCTCCTTAGAATTTAAGCTACACAGATTATATTTTATCAGTTTATTGATGGGTGGAACTGCAAACCAGAGAGAAGCATTGCAGTATGCTAAAAACTTTCAACCTTTTGCTCTTAATCACCAGAAGGGTAAGTAGTATTAAATGCATTCTGTACAATTTTTGTTTGCATGTTAAAATAGGTGATTTGTAATGAAGCTACTACATGCGTTTCCTGAACAGCTTGTTTTTGTTTTCAGAAGTGTATTTGATTTATACATTTATTTTACAATTGCAGGGGTGCTTTGATATCCTTTAGAAAAGTAAACATTAGAAACAAAAAACCTGCCCCTTGCAACCTGTAAGTCTTTTGCTTTATACTTCCACCCACTCCATGGGTAATTTCTAGGTCCTTGATCCAAAGAAGTATTTTAGGCATTGTAACTACCTATAGTCCCTCCTTATTTTTAACATACTCTCTATCCTATATCATGAGGGTTTTTAGGACCTTGCTTCTGTTTTGAAAGTATGTTGTCATGCAGCCTAGTGAACTGGTGCTGTTCAAAAAACACAAGTGCAAAGGACCCTAGCTAAGTGGCTCCTGATCAGGGAGTTCATATTCCTCTGGCCTTCTTTCGGTATAATCCTGGCTTTTGCCCCCAAGATGTTTATACTTATGAAAAACATCTTGAACATTTTATTTTCATCCAGTCAACATGTTGAGCATTTTAAAGTCCCATTTATACTTCATCTCAGTCATCAGTTCAGAAGAAGACTACACCCAAGAAAGTAGAAGACTGAGACATGGACAGTGGTGAAGGAACAGAAAAGATCATCAAGTGTAAGGACCTTTCACCTTCACCAAGGCCAAGATCATCCAGGCTATTGTATTCCCAATTGTATGGGTGTGAAAGGTGGACAGTGAAGAAAGCTGAAAGGAAGAAAATGGCTGTGTTCAAAACATGCTGCTGGAGGAGAGCTTTATGAATTGCTGGACTGACAGAAAGATGAAGTGTCTCCTGGATCATATCAAACCAGAACTTTCCCTGAGGCTGTCATACCTTGGACACAGCATGAGAAGACCAAACTCTGAGAAGACAATCATGCTAGGAAAAGTTGAAGAAGAAGAAAAAGAAGGCCAAATATGAGATGGATTAACTCCATAAAGGAAGCCTCAGCCGTGAGTTAAGGATAGCTGAGCTAGACTGCCATGGATAGGAGATTTTGGAGGGCTTATATTCTTTATGGGTCTCCATAAGTTGGAGAAGACTTGACAGCACATGACAAGAGCAATGCAATCCAGTGCCTGTTTAAACCGGAAAAAGTGCTTACATCTCCCTCTGTGCCCCACCCAGCTATGCTGGCTAAGGGAGCCTCTGAGTTGTAGGCCTTTTTTCCATGTAAATGTCTATAGGATTGTGCCATTAGGGAGTTAAACACCAGCTAATTCATTTTATTAAACTTAAATGCCTGTTCTTAAATATGACTGTGATCATCACCGTAAATCCATACATCTGGTCAGTTCTTGCTATTGGGGAATTCTGTCTTGGTTCTGATGTTTTTGAACAGCAGCAGAATAAATCAATGCATGGGTGGGGATGCATATGGCACAGCACCCCAGGATGAAACAAATTACCAATGATAGCACATCTGGTTTATTGATTTATGGATTTTTAAACAAAAAGAATTTAAATGTGAAATACTTCAGCACAGGACGCTGGCTTCTGTCACAAACTGATACAAGGCCAATCAACAATTGGTCAAGCCTTAGTGGGGGAAACAAAAAAATTAGCAGTCAATACTTTTGTTCAGCAGCCATCAAGCCATGTCACAGCTTTTTTTATCTCACCATTCACATTGAGATAAAGTTTCAGTTCATCGATAAATGTATCCTTTTTCTTTTTCCTTTGGATGCTCCTTTGAGGGTAACAAAATGGGGATAGGTAATTCTGCTGTGATTTAATTCCGCATCAAACCAAATGGTGATGATGCAGAACAAAAAATGATGTCACCATGAGGAGATCAGAAGTTTTCATTTGTCTTCTCGATTAACCGAACTTGACAAACTGTCATTTGTTTGTAAACTGTACCCTTGTTTGAAACAAGCCAATTTAACAATCCATGCCCTTAGTATCACATTGTGAGATAAAAAGTGTAAGTGGAAAAAACCCATTTAGATCTCTTACTCTTCAGGCAGCTCATTGAACATTCTCTTATATGCTTATATAAGTACAAGGTATTCTAGTTGTGAATAATGTGACTTTCTTCTTGAATTTCCAGTTGTTATTGATTATGTATATATTGTACTTGCATAAAAAGCTTTATTTTCTATATTTCTAATGAAATAGGCACTACAGATCTCTTGTCTTTCACAGATATTCAAGTTTTAATGGGAAGCCTAGTATACCTAAGGCAGGGAATTGAAAATTCTCCGTATGTCCATTTATTGGATGCAAACCAGTGGGCAGACATCTGTGACATCTTTACAAGGGATGCTTGTGCTCTGCTGGGACTCTCAGTTGAATCACCTCTTAGTGTTAGGTATGGCTACTGTCATGTTCAACATTTTTTAAGATTGGGTTACCTACACCTCACCTAGTCGTCAACACTTTAGGAATTTGTCTAATTCCTTTCTAAACAGAGAATACTGTAGTGTAATAGAATGTGGTACCTAAATTGGTTTGCATCGACATTGATTGGTTTTGAATTTAGTGGACTTTTCTTACAAACTCTAATACTAGATACAAAGACTTTACTTTCCTATAGAGACTTCCTGTATCCTTAATAACAAATATGTATATCTCTGCTTCTAAGTCACATTCACAGGAGATTTCTAGCCCTGTTGAATGTCAACTGGGAGAGTGTTCAGATGAGCAGAGGGCCTTCTCTTCCAGTGAGAGGCAGGATAGGACATCAAATCTGACAGCATTCCAAATGCCCACAGGAAATGCACACCTCCACTGCTCTTACATGTTTCCAGTTACCTAAAACCAAGACCTGATACAGCCAGGCTTCTCTCTCTTCCCGTATGCCTGGCTACCCCACATTTAGTGGGTGGCCTTAGGCAAGTGATTTCTTTTCCATCCTTAGTCTCTTACCTGCAATGTAGAAAGAGGATAATTACTGGCTTACCTTATAGGGTTATTATAAGGATGGCTTTTATGGTACACATGAGGCATTGTTGAGCATTTGGAAGAAATATGCTTTCTTAATTTTAAAACGTTTAGGCTACTGAATAACCCAATAAGTGGAAAGCAACAAAATACAAGGCCAATATTACAATTTCTAGAAAGGAAAAAAATGCTGGTAGTAGAACAAGATCTTACAGGCAAGTTGTTAAAAACAGGTCTCAAAATTTCTATGAGAAAAGACTGTTTTCACCTGGCATCAAAATGAAAGTAATAATGGTGCCTGGCAGACCTTTCTAGGAAGTCCATTCCAAAGGCGGGGAGTAGTCACTGAAAAGGCCCTTCTAATCACTATGCCTTTCACTTCCTTTACGGATGGCTCTGTCAGAAGGATCTCATGACCAGCTATCAATGGGTGGGTAGACATATAAGGGAAAAAGTGGTCCTTCCAGTAACCAGATTCCAAGTCGTTTAGGGGACTCTATATGTTAAAACAGGGATGCAGGTGGCGCAGTGGTTTAAACTGCTGTGCTGCTGGGCTGGTTGATCGAAAGGTTGCCGGTTTGAATCTGCACAATGGAATGAGTTCCCATTGCTCTGTCCCAGCTCCTGCCAACCTTGCAGTTCGAAAGCATGCAAATGCAAGTAGATAAAAAGGCACCACTTCGGTGGGCAGGTAACAGCGTTCCATGCACCTCGGTGTTTAGTCACACCGGCCACATGACCACAGAGACTGTCTGCGGACAAACGCTGGCTCCCTCGGCTAGGAAACGGAGATGAGCACCACCCCCTAGAGTCAGGCATGACTGGACTTCAAGGGGAAACCTTTACCTTTACATTTTATATGTTAAAACAAGCATGTTAAATAAGGTCTGGGATTCAACTAGCAACCAGTGTAATTTATATAGAATAGGTGTTATACAGGCTTGAAAACTGACACAGGACACCAGGCGTGCAGCCCTATGTAGAGAGCATTACAGTAATCCAGTTGGGATGTTACCAGTGCATGAGTAACCGTGGTCAGGCTCTGTCTATCCAGATAAGGCCGTAGTTATTGTATTTGCCACAGCTGGGGGGGGGGGGGGGGGGACCATTCCTGTCCACCAAATCCACCTGGAACTCCAGTGATAATTTTGGGTCCAGGAGCATCCACAAACTGTGGATTCTGTCCTTTGGGGGAAGTGTGACCCCATCTAAGACAAGGCATTGGTCACCTAACCTATCAGACAGATTGTCAACCAATAGTACTTCAGTCTTGTCTGGACTGAGTTTCAGTTTATTGGCCCTCCTCCAGGACATTATCAAACTCAGACACTGGCTCAGCTTGAAGACTGCCTCATCTGGATTTGATGTAAATGAGAGGTAGAGCTGTGTTGTCGGCATATTGCTGACACCTTAGCCCAAACCTCTGGATGATCCTTCCTAGTGGTTTGATGTAGATGTTGAAAAGCATGAGAGATAGCATAGAGCCCTGTGGAGCTATCTTTCAACACCTGGCAGAAAGGCAGTGCCTCCAACTCCTGATCCAGCCAACATGTCCAGAAGGACATCTTGGTGAATGGTGACAAGCTGCTGAGAGGTCTAGAAGAATGAACAGCGTCACACTCTTCCTCTTCCAGGATTGAGAATTTACATATATTGTGAGCTATAGTGGCCTGTTGAACTTGCTGGAACACATTTCTGAGTAGATATACCTAAGTAATGCACACTGCAAAGTAGTGTGATGGTTACAGACTTGATTTTGCAGGTTCTTCAAATCCTGGCTATAGCTTTGTTTTACCTTGCCTTTCAGTCAATCAATCATCAAATAATCCAGGTATGGAGCCTTGTAGCAGGATATAAATTGAAATAATAAATACATAAAGCAATACTGAAAGTCACCATTCTTTGACTTTGCAGCACAAATTATTGTGGATACAGGGGGCATATCCTGTGACCTTTCCCAGCATAGATGTCCTTCATAGACTAAAGTTCTCATAACCCACCGCTAACTTTTCTTTTCGACCTAGCCATGGAGCTTCTCTTGTTCTCCCACTCTCCACTAGCTCATGAACACTAACTTGCACAGAAATGGAGGTCTGATGTCATTCCTTTACATCCAGCAATATCGAGGTTCTTTCTGGAAGCTCTGAATCCTGCCTATTTCACTACTTTGTTTTCTTTAACTGTGAATAAATTATACATTCAAGGCACTTGATATTGTAAAGGTGCTTAATTCATTTTATAGTACTGGTACTACAGTTCTTAGGCATTGGAATCTGTTAAGGAAGCTTTTACATGTAAGCATTTAGTCATTCTTGAGGAAGGGCCTGCTCTCTTTGACATGATGGATAATTCATTTATAGAATTTGCTACTGTAAGGTGTAGTGAGGCCACCTCTTAGATGGCTTTAAAAGGGGGTTAGACAAATTCTAAGGAGGAAATTCTGGAGGAGAAGCCTGACTATCTCTTCTAGCAGGACCCGAGGCAGCATGCCACTGAGGACCAGTTGCTGCAGTGCAACAACTGCAGAGGGCAATTGCTTTTATGCTCCATAAAAGGTGGGCTTCACACAGACCTCTGGACTAAATGGACCTTTTGTCTGACCCAGGGGAATCTCCCCACGTTCCTGTGCTTAGCCTGAACAAAAATGAATGTGGCTAATCCAGTATAAAGGTCAAATATGACCCCAAATAATAAAAACAAAAATTGGAGGAGGGGCAGGTTGCACTGAGTGCAACACCAGCTAATAGGTTGGTGCAAAAATATTTTTGCTTTTTGACCGTTTTGTTTTGTCTTTTGTCTTTGAATAGCTCTAATTCACCTCAAACGTAATTTTATTAATCAAAATAAGAACCATAACAGTCTGCACATTTTTGTCAACAAGTTACAAGATTCTTTATTCTGGTCACAAAGTTCTGGAGGCGATGAACTCTTGGAAGGCATTTTTGGCAGTACCTTGGTTATTGAAGCATTTTCCCTGTAAGGAGTTGACAAGATGCTTGAAGAAGTGGTAGTCGGTGGGCGAGAGATCTGGTGAATATGGTGGATGAGGCAGGATTTCATATACCAATTTAGTCAGCTTTTGCAGTGTTGGTTGTATGACGTGTGGCCAGGTGTTGTCATGCAAGAGAATTGGACCTTTTCTGTTGACCAATGCCAGACACATTTGCTGCAGTTTCCTGTGCATTTCATTGATTTCTTGACAATACTTCTCTGATGTAATGGTTTCACTGGGATGCAGGAAGCTGTCGTGGATGATGCCGGCTGCAACCCCCCAGTCACCATAATCTTTCTTTGGTGTGTCTTTTGCTTTGGGAAGTGTTTAGAAGCTTTGTCTTGATCCAGCCGCTGAGCTGAATATCCCCTGTTATCATACAGGATTCACTTTTCATCACATGATACAATCTGATCAAGAAATGGATCATTTTTGTTATGCAAAAGAAGAGAAGATGACACTTGAACGATCATTTTTTTGTTTTTCAGTTAGCTCATGCGGCACCCATTTACTGAACTTTCCAATTTGCTCCAAATGGCAAGCAATAGTAGAGTGATTAATGCTGAGTTCTTCTGCAATGTCTCATGTAGTTTTGCGCAGATTGGCCCCCGATTCAATTGGTCATTGTCAACTTTCAATGGCCACCCATGACCCTCTTCATTTTCAAGACATTTTGTGGTTCCAAAGCTTTCCATTATGAAAACATACAGTGAATGTATTGCACTTTACATTCATGAACAGTACCCAGGCCAAAAGCATAATTGATATTGCGAGCCGTTTCTGTTGCCTTATAACCCTGTTTGAACTTGTACAAGAAAATTGCTCAAATTTGCTTCTTATCCATCATTAATCCAATAGGTGAAATTAGATCTTAATGATTAATTATTTGCTATTTCTGTAAGAACAAAACATAGAGCAAAAATTATCTTTGAAATGATATATAACGTGACCACATTTATATGAAATTATTCCAAAATCAATTAGCAAACATCAACAATACAAAAAAACCAAAATTATTTTTGCACCAACCTAATACAGAGGTAAGAATCAATGTTTTCAGTATTTCCTTGAGTCTGTGCAAGAAAAGAGCAGCAAAAAGGCACAGGGGTTAGTCATACCTTTCCATAGTATTAACCATATCAGAAAAACAGTATTGGTGTCTAATCGATCCCACCATTTTAAAATTATGGAATCTATGGGAGCCTGAGAATTAATTGCTGGGCTAAACAGAAGCGATTTGTGAAACAAGCTGTGACGTTATTTATGATAAATTTTAACCAGTGCTTCCCTTTAGCTGCCTTTTCTGTCCCTCTAGGCCTCTTCAAATAGAGTTTGGTGACTTGAAATGGCTGATGGCACTGGGGATGTTCATATGTCATGTGGGCAATAAGCTGTGATTTGTCTGTCCCCTTCAGTCCCCCTGCAGGCACCCAGGGTGCACTGCCATGAGGCCACCGTGTCTCCCTACTCCCTGATTTTGGCTCACTGTCCCTTTTCCTGCTTGTCCTACTGTTTTTCCTGAGATTGCAAAACCTGCCTTTCATGATCCTCACTTCAACAGCCACTTGAAAGTGCCTGAATGTCAGTGGTTTCTGAATATTTTATCATTATTATTTTTATGTGCAGAATGCGTGCAAATATTTTTAGTTGTTCATTTTTATTATTCTAGCTGCAAGTGAGGAAATTGGATTGTCAGTGAGCGATGGTGGCAGGAGGACCTGCCCGTCAGACTGCAGCAGGTACCAACCCTGCATCCAAACTGCTCCCCCCACCCCGCTTCTTGCTTTCTCTTGAAAGTTGTAAAGGGAAAAGCAAAGGTGTGAATCATCTTTGTACACCAAAAAGGTGCGGTAGGATTAGCATCCCACTTGTGGCAAGATCCTCAGCTTTTCTTTTTCCTCGTTAGTCCTCAGGGTGGTGCACATTTTGCCCTTTTTACTGAGACTCCAGCTGCTTTGGAAGTCGCAAAAGGGCGTCTCACTCCCTTTTACACAGGACTTCCTTTTTTAAGGAAGGGTTTTGTAGGTTTTTTTAAAAGATGGGGACATAGACAGTTCCAATGTTAAGGCACCCATTACCCTCTTAAAACCTACTCTTAATTCCGAAAATGTTTACGTACATTGTATAAAGAAAAATAAGTAACCACTGGCAGTGCTCCAAGGTACCACTCAAGCACTCTCAAAGGGAGTGAAAGTTGCTGGGAAAGAAGCCTTTGCCATTTCAAGGGGAACTGCAAGGCCACAGCAAACTGAAACTGGCTCACTATCGTAGTGGGGAGGGCAGCAAACCATTCCCAGATGCCTCACATGCCCCTTGGGTGCTTGTGAGGCAGCATCCTTGACCTCAAGCAAGCCATCCTGTGGCCATTGGCCTGGGTTTACATGAGGGGTCCTGTTGCATGACTAACAGCAGGTTTGTATAGGATGGGATAAAAATATTCTAAATAAACAAATTTGACATTCTGTCCTCATCCCAGAGGTGTGCTATATTGTGCTCCATGGAATTTTATGAGATAGGAGAGTTGTTGCCTGTGTATTTACAGTGACTTGGGGCGCTCTGGGATACATTTTACTGTCTTAGATTATATTGTGCAATTTTGGTGTTAGTTGTGTCTTAACTTTGACCAGTGGTAAGACAAATGAATTTGTATCATAAGTTGTACGTCTAGGCATGTTCTCTTCTGGGCTTATTTTCTTTCTATAGGCTGCAGTGAATTTGCAACAGTAGACATGGTTTAAACTTTCTGTGCAACCCCCATCCTGCTACAGGTGGTACCATATGCAAAAGATAACATGTCCTAAGAGGAATTTCTGGAATCACCTGCACTGGGTATTTTAGGAACAAGAAGTCATACTCTGCCAAGCTGGTTATGCATTGCTTGGCAATGCTGACAGATCAGAATTATGCTGAGGAACAAACAAGTCTAGCACTTTTCTTACATTTAGTACTGAAATAGATGTCTAAACAATTCATATTTATGGAAATATTTGGCTTAAATATTTTGCTCTATTCCTCAGCTTTTCAGCCGGTTGTGTTGCATTGCCAGCTCTAATAAATATAAAAGCTGTGATTGAACAGAGACAATGCACTGGCGTTTGGAATCAGAAAGATGAGTTACCGGTGAGTAGCTTTGTGAATTGAGACAGACAATATTGTAACAACTTCCCACATTCTAAAAAGCAAGCTAAGCATTTCCTTCGTAGTGAAAGCATTACAAAGGATTAATTGAATTGTCCCTTATAATACAGTAGTGTGCTTTCCCGCTAGAGATGTAATTTTGTTCAACCCTTCTCAACAAACGTATGTGAGTACTTTGTTGCTTTTGAGAGGGATGGTTTAACTGGGAGTCCTGCATCGAGTGGAGAGTTGGACCTGATAGCCTTTAGGCCCCTTCCAGCTTTCTTATTCTATGATAGCAAAATATGCTTCTGAGTAACCATCTGTTTGTTATTCTTTGTGGTCTCTGCATCATACATGTGGGCTCTGCATGCCTGCATGGAGCTGCTTTGAGAGGATTCCAAAGCTGATTGATTACTATTCAGCAGGAACCTGGCCCATAGCCATGCCTAGCATGAGGGTCAGAGCTACCACTGAGATCTCAGTTCTTCGGGAAGAATGGAGTGCATTGGGAAGGTCTTCCCCTACTTACCTTGCAGGTGGTTTTTCTGTCTTTCAACTGTCCTCAGATTCCTATCGGGTCCAGGTTTTTTCTCCTTCATCTTCTCACTAGAAAAAAAAAATTACTATTACCCTCACCTTCTCTCTCTTCCCACCTTTTTGGCTCCCCTACCTTTATTGGGTGGACAAAATGGCACTGAAAACCCTTTCTGCAATTGTGTGGCTTGTGACACTAAACTATCACCTACTGACTGCCACTCTCTGTGCCTTTTTTGCATGTGAGAAAATCCTGTTGTTGATACCTGCTATCATTGCAAGGCATTCACTAAAAGGGCAAGAAGACATCAGGCAGATGACCTAAAAGCCATATGGATGATGCCCAACCATCCACTAAACCAGACAAACACCCAGATCTTCCCCCAGAGAAAGTATGCAAGACAGGGAAGCCTAAGAAATCAGATTAATAAGACTCCAAAATGCCCAGTCTTACTAAAGAGGAGGGGCAGCAAACATGCACAGAAAGGCTTGGACATGCCTCCTATTACTGGCCTCCTGTGGGCTGGCTACACGGTGCCTACCCAAGACATGAACCACCTCCTGCTTCAGCAGCAAGACCAACACAGGAACCTCAGCCTCAACCTCCACAAAGAACCCCAGTTTCAGAGGGAGATTTGTGACCTGTCTGCTATGACCAGGCCCTGCCTCGAGGCAGAGATGCGACTCCCCTGCATTCACCATTCCAAGCGTTCTCTGTACCGAACAGGATTGATGCTGCTACTGTTCTTGGTCCCCAATTGCTGACAAGGTCCAGTAGAGCTAGCCCTTCATTCTTTGGATGTCCATAGGACATTAGCTTTTTACAAATCCAGGCCTGCAACAGCAGGGGGTTGGACCTGATGGCCTTCAGTGGCCTCTTCCAACTCTACTAATCTATGATTCTATGACTCCATCCAACATTCACAGAGACACTCTATTTCCTACAGTGGTTCATATTAAGGATTGCATATCTCCTCTCATATCCTCTTCAAATGGATAGTTCAATGGATATGAACCCTCCAGCCTCCAACTATCCATTCTCATTAGAGCACATTCTACCTGGGTGACTGTGACCTCCACAGCCTTGTACACAAGAGTGTCCCTCACTGATTTCTGCAGAGTGGCAACATAGTCAAATCCCTTGACCTTCATACACCATTATACTCCTGATGTTTGAACTAGAGAGGACTTTGCCTTCTATAGAGCTGTCCTCTCCTCCCTACTTGCTGAAGGACACCACCTTTCTCCATGAAGTAAACTTGCCAGCTGCCCACATGTGTGATGCACAGAGACTATGAAGAATAAAGGCAGATTTTCTTACCTGTAACTGCCGATCTTCGACTGGCCATCTGTGCATTCACTCATACCAACCTGGCATCCCTGCTGGTGTCATTTTTCTCTGAAACAGCATTGACACATCTCCTGTATAGACATTCTACACAGTGGACTCATTTTTCACAACTGAGATCTTGGTGGGAGCCCTGCCCCCCATGCTAGGCATGGCTGTGGGGCTGGGCTCCTGCTCAGTGCTAATTAAGCAGCTTTGGAATCTTCCTGAAGCTCCACACATGTGGGCAGAGCCCACATGTGTGAATACACAGATGACCACTGAAAGAATGACAGTTACAGGTAAGCAACTTGCCTGTTTCACTACAAGGCATGCTGACAATGTTTGATAAGCAATATTTATTGCTTTTAGGACTTGCTTGTAGATTAATAAGCTGTGGACAATATTCCTGGTGATTAGGAGTTTTGCTAAGGGTTCTTCCAGAAATGGGCTTTCAGGTCTTGCCTTGTCAGTGAGCTTTGGTGGACTGACCTCTTGCAGGTGTCTCTGTTGTCCTGCATTCCTACCCCACTCCCGCTTCTCCTGTATTTTTTCACCCAGTTAATAATGTTCAGGTGTACAATAAACTGCAAACAAACCTAAGCAAACCCAGTGGTCTGCCCACCTGATTTCAGGAGGCAGGAGAAGTACCTAGTACTGTTGCATACATCTGTCATCAAAACCCCTTCTGTGTTTGAGCCAGGATCCAACCCATTATGCCCATGCTAACTAGTAAGCTGTTGATTTAAAATAGCTGGTGATGGTGTTTTGATTCTCTGCAGATTGAAGTGGACCTTGGCAAGAAATGTTGGTATCATTCAATATTTGCCTGCCCTATCCTTCGTCAACAAACAACAGATAACAACCCTCCTATGAAGTTGGTTTGCGGTCATATTATATCAAGAGATGCCCTAAATAAAATGTTTAATGGCAGCAAGTAAGTAAAAACCTACTTATTTAACTTAATTTGGAAATTTTGTGGAATATGACAAATATTACTTCTATAGCAACTATATGTTAGAGCAGCGTTTTGGAACATTCTTTTGATGTTTAGTTTTGTAGAAACCTATCTCAGGCCCCCGTCTTCCCCAGCTGGGTACCCTTGAGGTGAATTGGACTATAAGCTGCACCACCCCCAGGCAGCATTATTATGCTTGCTGGGAGCAACAGGGTTATGTCCTGATACATCTGAGGACATCAGGATGGGGAATGATGTTTTAGACAAATGCCTGATCATAGTAAAGAATGTACAAGTCTCAGTGAATGCTGCTGCTTACATTGCATTATATCCCGCCTTCTTTCCTTTTGCGAAGAACCCAATGCTGCTGCTGCTGCTGCTTACATAGCTCCATTTTATCCTCACAACAAAAACCCTGTGAGGTAGGTTGGGCGGAGAGTCTGTGACTGGCTGTTGAGAATGATTGTTTCTCAAGGGCTGCTGGCTAGACCTTGGAGGAAGAGGTGGGGCTTGGTATGTGGGTCAGTTCCAGGTGTTGAGATGAAAGAAGTGGAGGCATTTATCTCAAGGCCAGACTCCCCGTGTGCACAGGCAGTCTCAGAGAATGACCAAGATCTGTAGCTGACAGGAGGGGGGTTGGAGCAGGGCTGTTTCTCAGGCACAGATGAAGTGGTTATGGCTCTCTACCCCAGGATGCGACTTCAGCAGAGGAGGGCAGCCAAACAGAGGATCAGTGTGCAGAGCGGAGGCATGATCATTTTTAGAAGGCCCCTCCCGAAGGGATGGGGCCCAGGCATGCTCATCAAGAGAGTTTCTGGAGGTGAATACTAGATGGGTTCAATGAACGGCTCTGTGTATGCTCAGGCATTCATTCTGGGTGTTTGTACTTCTGGAAAAGGCTTTGACCAATAAAGAATGTTTTGCAAGAAATGTCTGTAGCTTTGAATGTGTGAAGGGAGGAAGCCTAGCTCATGACACTGACCCAAAGTCATCCAGTTAGCTGCATGGCTGAAGCGGGACTAGACCCCAGATCTAGAGCAGGGTGAGAGGAGGTGGGACATAGGCTGCACCTTCTCTCCCACCTTGTTTTCCAAAAATGATGCAATTTATCCTTTGGTTGTCAAATGAGGCTGGATTTACTCTGGCAGAAGACCAGAGTAGGCGCAATAGCAAACAGAGGGGGGCTCTCTTTCTGTTTAAATTTCACTTCCTCCTGCAACCCATCTTTCACAATCAGATCAGTTGAAGACTTTTTATTTTCTTCCATCGGAATGAAGCTTTCTCTGTATGCAGCCTAGAAAGTTGCTTTATAGTGAATCATACCATTTGTCAGCGCTCTAGTCTCTGACTGGCTGCAAAACTGAAGCATATTCTTTGGCACTTCTTCCTAGAGACCATGGACACACTTCCACACACTTGCTGTGACCTGCAAGGCTCTCTGTGGTTTGGGACCAGGTGACCTGGAAGATTACCTTCTTTCATATGAGCCTAAGCAGGTTTTAGGATCTTCAGGAGAGGCCCTTCCTTCAGTCCTGAAGGATTTTGTGGAAATGGAGGAGAGGGCCCAAGCTGTGATTGCTCCCAAGCTGTGGAACTCCCTGCCATGAGTATCTTGGGCTGGCTCCCTCTCTCCTGGCAGGAAAACAGATTTTTATTCAAGTGCCATTTGGTGTATAACTCAGTCTGCTAGGTTGGGCACTTGTAATTTTGCTTTAAATGGATTTATTTTGTTATTGTTTAATCAAGTTTTTACTTATCTATGATTTAGGTCACCATGGATTTTTTTTCGTAGAAAGGCAGGGTATGAAGCCGCCCCATGAAGAGCCCACCACACTGCAGAAACCTAAGCTGAATGCAGGTGTCACTAGGAAGTGATGCAACTGACAGTACTGGAGTCCTGGGAGCAAAAGTGTTCCTGGCCTCTGGCAGGGCATGCAGGAGCAAAGCGTGGTTCAGGAGCAGCAAACCACCTCTGACTTGTCTGGGCTAAGTTTGTCCGTGCTTTTCTCCAGCAGCTCTGTTCACCTTCATGCCTAGCTTCAGCCTCAGGAGTTTCCAGTCTTGGAGGAGATCTAGTTCTTTAAATGGAGATTCTAGGGCCTGAACTGTGTACTCTGTGAACTGAGCTTAACTACAAATTAGGTGTTGTTGAAGTGAGAGGAGGAATACCAAATTATTATTTCAGTATGTTTAGAGGACTTCATTTTAAGGCCAACAACGAACTTACTTTTTGTTTGTTTTCAGATTAAAATGTCCTTATTGTCCCATGGAACAGAGTCCTGGAGATGCCAAGCAGATATTCTTCTGAGGACACACTCACTATGTAACATACTCATGGGTTTTGGAAGATGGAAGCAGGCAAATATTCCATGTTATGCTGTACAGATTGAGGCGGACTCCTGTGTTTTGTATCAGCCTAATGCGCCAGAATTTTTTTGCCAACATTTAGTGCAGACATACAGATTGGAAAAGTTGCAGAAGTAATATCCGTTATAGGGCTTTTACTCTAACCTTGGTCTCCATATCTGATCAAGATACTACACCAGCAGTTGTCATTCAGTGCAGGTTTTTATACTTAATTGTGTGATGACTTCACTTTTTAAAGCAGGCTCCAACTGGTCATAATACAAGTTTAATATTTGCCCTGCTTTTACCACCCTGATTGATAAACGTCATCATAAAGAATGTGTGGGGAAAGTTTTTATTTCAGTAGTGTGTAAATAATTAAGAGAACTTCAGAAAAAATTGATAAACTGAACAGTGGTTATAGACCTGTATAATGGTGGTTATAACTGGTATTTCTGTTAATACTGTTTTCCCGCCACCTAAAGATGTGATATTCTGAGGTTGTTGTTGGGTTTTTTTTGTTAAACATTTTTTCCAGCTTTTAAACAGAGTTCCAACTGAATATGCTTACATATAAGATACATAAATATATACCCGAGTTCAAAATCATTTGTAATTTAGAAAGACTGCAATTGAATCTGGACTCCTGGAATTGGGAATCTAGTTCAGTTGATTTCATGATTGAGAGCTCTTTATGTAGCTTAAAGTATTCAATAAAGTGGAGCTCTAAATTGAAAAGAAGCTTCTGTCAATAAATACTTGCTCTCCAGTTTTTTTTAGTCATAATCTAGGCTTTTTATTCAAGATCAATGTCATGTTGCTGTACAGTTTACTAGTTATGATAATTGAGTTATTTAAAAATTTATCAAAACTGAATAAACCATTGATAATGTCCATTTATTGGGTTAAAGAACTTATTTTATTAATCTAAGAAACCCTATTCCCTGTTCATCACAGGAGTGGATCTCCATTTTATTAGAAATGAATGTCTTCTGCAAGCAAGAATATGTGATCCCCCTGATGACTCACTTATATTAATTCTGTCTCACATTTGTTCTAATTGGTGATCAGTCACATGTCTGGACTAGAGACTTAACTGGCCTTGCCTGTCAGCCACTCTTGCCAGAGAGCCTGAGCAAGCACAGTCCTAAAGGGAGGTGTTAAGAATCCAATACTGTGAGCTTTCTCACCAGCTTTTAGTGACTGGCATTCTGTATGGAAAGCTGTGTTGATAAAGATTTCATGTGTTTTTGACCATGGACTCAAGTGAATGGTCTGTGGCATTAACCAATAATTAGAGATGTTATGTTATATATATCAATAACTAAGACTATACCAAGGCAGACTGACTTTACCTGAACTAGAAGAGGAGATAGAAAAATACTCCAACATTATTTTATTTTTGTAAACAAAGTTATTTCTGTACCGCACTTGTGAAGAAAACTGATAAAAGTATTGATAAACAAGTGAGACTATTTTCATGTTAGGTTCTATTCCCATCGACATGGAGGAGAATTACATGTTTTTTAGCGACAACATGCTGAATGCATATTTGTATTCTAAATGAAGCAAGATAACTCTGAAAAAAGTTGCATCCCTCTCCAAGGTGAAAATTATAATGCAGGATTATCTGTAGACCTACGGGCTATCTATAGGCCTTTATTTTATTGCGATTTGAGTGTGCCCAGGTTAAGTGCTTGGGTTTACAGCTAGTGAATTCTGTTTCATCCACTGAACCAACAAACCTGTGTTCGTTTGCTCATTTATATCAGATATTGAGGACCCCAAAAATAGAAGGACTTGAATAATTTCAGTGTATTCTGAGGGATGAAAGGGTTTGCTTTCCCTCAACCAGTGAGGGGTAAATTAGTTGCAAGCCATCTAATTCTGGGAGAGAAATTGGTAGGTGCTTCAAAATCCTACACTATTATTAACTCTACACTATACTACACTATTTAGTTTAATACACACCTTCACTTTTCTGATAAGAGTGACATGGAGGAAGCAGGCTACCATTGATCCATGTGATTGATGCTATGTGCTTGTACACTTTTAAAATTTGTGGGCAGTTGTGATAAATAGCAAATTTCCCCATGCTCACACATAACCCTTTTCCTGTCTTTTCAGTTGTAACCACTGTATAGCACAATAGTGGCTTCACTTTTTGTTTTCCTGAAAATGGGGCAGTATAATCAAATCTAGCAAATGCAAGGAAAACAAACACCTTTTTACAATGGTAATCCAAGCTGGCTACAATGCAAATTTGTCACAGCAAGCCAGTGAGTGTTCCAAGGTTTTTCCCTGGAGAACCAGATTGTAAGAGGCTCCAGTCCACCTGAAATAACTCAGCTGGATGGCACTGTGAGAAAGTGATAGAGGTGGCAAAAAAACTATGTTTTGCTGCATGTATTGTCACAGAATAGGCTTGATAATGAGCTCTTAAACATGTTTGGTCAGACTCATCATGATATTTCCTCTTACTTTAGGAGAGTTACAAAAAGGAGGAGGATTTTGTATCAGTCTAGCTGGAGGCTTGGGAAAGTGTTAAAAAGCTGGAGGTGTGAGCTGCCTCCCCACTTCTTTGAGCACCTTCTTGGCCTACTCTCCCCCCTTCACCCATGCTTTTAAGTAGATGGGTAGCCAATTAATCCCTGACAATGCCTTGCTTCAGTCTTTTCGTGTATTCTACCTACTCCATTTCCTGGCTTCCTTTGACAACTGAAAATTCAGGCAAGATCACATATATTGGAAGCCATAAGAGCACTGACAAAAGATTGGTAACAACAAATTGCAAACAGTTTGGCAATTTTCAAAGGCAAAAAATGACTCCAATTATGCCTTTTGGAGGCTCGGAAAAAATGTCAAATGAACAAACAAGATGATAAACCAAAGAGTGGAGGGGACAAAAAGTTGGGTTATGCCATGAAGGACTTTGGGATACCAGTTGGAAGGCCAGGGGGAAGGTGAACAACCCATGGTGAGTCTATTCTGTGAACAACCCACATTGACTAGCTTCCTTTCAGAGTGGCTTAGCATGTTGTATGAATGCCCCTTAGGAGTATTCACTTCACTTTTCCCAAAATGTGGTGAGTCCGTTGCTGTATTTGAGAGCCCTCCTACTGTTCTGCTGAATGGGGTTCTGCCTGGACACCTGCCCAAAGGTTTTGCTCCAACAGCAAACTGGATGCAGAGCTCTCTTGTGAACCACTGACCTCAAAGGCTGGGATTTTCACAGCCTTCTGTAGGCTCATGGAACCACCTAGATTAGCCCAGTGATGATGGGGATGAAAGGATGATTTGAAACAAGGAAACAGGAAGAGTAAAAATGTAACAAAATTCCTTAGTCATAGGAGGCGGGGCTGGGATCAGATAACAGGAAGGAATTTGTCATGTAGACAAGATAGCAGGACCCTTACTCAAATGACCTCATGACTATCAACAAACACACCCTGCATAGGAAATAAGCTCATTATAGTTCACCTGGGAGGGATGATGTGGGAGGAAAGAACAGGTATTAGAGTGGCACAGGATGGGAGGATGAGAAAAGATTTGTAACCTCTCAGTACCTTGGTCAATGAGGCAAAAGAGGGAAGAGGCGGCTGGGGAAAGGGCATAAAAATGGGATGTGAACATGTGCTTGGCGAGCTGGCAAGGGGAAGGAAACTCTCCACTCCCTTTCTTGCAATAACTTTTCAGAACTCTACTTGCCTGGAGTATTTTTCTCTTCGGAAGGAAAGGAAAGAATGTTTCTAACAGTGAGAACATTTAAAGACTTCTTTCACTGAATAGCAACAGCTCATCTAAGTTTCATGCTATTGGACATGGAGGTTCTGATGTCCAAGGAATAAAAAAATCTAAAACTTTCTTGGGTATTTGGGTCCAGGTATTATTGTAGCAAGAAATGTCTATAATAAAACGTACTTCCTCCAGTGGATATTGTGGAGAAAATAATTGCTATCATGAAAAAGTGGTAGCAAGGAATGAAAATAGCAACATTTTCTTCCCCTCCTACCATTCCCTGGAATTTGCTAGGCATCCTGAAGTTGAGTGTGAAATTAGTCTTGTTACCACACTGTCGCAGGATGTAAAAACAGAGAGAGCAGAGGAAAGGAGTGAGCAGCACTCTGGACTTCTGTATTCCTAAAAAAGTCCCCTTTCCCCAAATTCATGTTTTACTTGTGAATGGGGCCATGAAACCCTTATTAAAGATATACTACCTTGAGGCAGGTTTTCAAAGAGGCAGAAGAACTAGAGTTCAAATTGCCAACATAGGCTGGATCATGGAGAAAGCTAGGGAGTTCCAGAAAAACATCTACTTCTGCTTCATTGACCATGCTAAAGTCATTGCTTGTGTGGATCACAACAAATTGTGGCAAGTTCTTAAAGAGATGGGAATACCAGACCATCTTATTTCTCTCTTGAGAAACCTGTATGTGGGTCAAAAAGCAACAGTGAGAACTGAACATGGAATCACTGATTGGAAAGGAGTTCAGCAACTGTATACTGTCGCCCTGCCTATTTAACTTATATGCAGAGCACATCATGAGAAAGGCGGGGTTAGATGAATCACAAGTTAGAATTAAGATTGTCAGGAGAAATATCAACAACCTCAGATATGCAGATGATACCACTCTAATGGCAGAAAGTGAAGAGGAATTGTAAAGAGCTTCTTGATGCCAGTGAAGAAGGGGAGTGCAAAAGTTGGCTTGAAACTCAACGTTAAGAAAACTAAGATCATGGCATCCAGTCCCCTCACTTCCTGGCAAATAGATGGGGAAGAAATGGAGGTAGTGATAAATTTTATTTTCTTGGGCTCCAAGATCACCGCAGATGGGGACTGCATCCAAGAAATTAAAAGACGCCTGCTCCTGGGGAGGAAAGCTATGGCAAATATAGACAGCATACTAAAAAAAAGAGACATCACCCTGCCGACAAAAGTGCATATGGTCAAGACTATGGTTTTCCCAGTTGCAATGTATGGCTGTGAAAGTTGGACCATAAGGAAGGCTGAACGCCGAAAAATTGAGGCCTTTGAATTCTGGTGCTGGAGAAGACTCCTGAGTGCCTTGGACTGCAAGACGATCAAAACGGTCAGTCCTAGGGGAGATCAATTCTGACTGCTCTTTAGAAGGCCAGATAGTGAAGATGAAACTCAAATACTTTGGCCACCTAATGAGAAGGAAGGACTCCCTGGAGAAGAGCCTAATGCTGGGAACAATAGATGGCAAAAGAAGGGGACGGCAGAGGATGAGGTGGCTAGATGGAGTCACTGAAGCAGTCGGCATGAGCTTAAGTGGACTCTGGGGGGTGGTGGAGGACAGGAAGGCCTGGAGGAATATTGTCCACGGGGTCACAATGGGTTGGACGCAACTTCACGGCTAACAACAACAACAACCTTGAGTTGTATGAGGAAGTACAACTGGTATGTTAGATTTCTGTTCTGTCATACTTTCCCCTTTCTAAGAGGGAGATATTCATGGAAAGCATGGGAGAGCCCCTGGAGGATGACAACATGGTCTAAAGCACGGACAAACTACCATGAGTGAAGAATCACACGCTCACAAAATAAGTGGCTTATGCAGAGAAGGTTCAGATCATTTCTGCAACTAAGGTCTGCATTCACTGGCTCATTTTGAAAGGATTGCATTCAGGAAGGTTTATTCTACCATATTTAGACTATAGATGGAGGTCCAAGATAATGTTGTGACTCCAGGTACTGCTTCAGTGAACAAATATGTATTGTCACCATGTTGTCTATGCATCTGTCTTAGGAATATTTATACACAAACTTCAACAAAGGTAACCTGGATATCTTTTTACTTTTATTGAAAAAAAATAAAGTTTCTAGTAATATAATATGTAAATTGTGCCCATAAAATGAACAAAACTCTTCTGTTATTTTAGTTTGTTAATCACTTACATTAAAGCACAATTTGTGATTATTTTAAAGGTAATCTGGTTATCCATGTATTTATCTATTTGCATATTATGCGTAGAGACCACCCATTTGAAAATGGAAGCATACATAGTCTTTTAGCTGTCAAAAAAGTACAGATGAGCCATTTATTTGACCTTGCATTAGGTTCTAAGAAAATGCACATCTGTAAATATTATAGAACTGTCCCTCATCACGTTTATCTGAATTATTATCTCCTTCTAAAAAGAAGTAGCCATTGGGTATTGCCAAAACATGTGAGTGAGAGAAGTACCTCTAACAATTGGCTGGTTTAGAGAAAAAGACATTATGGTATCCATTATAACCAATGTACACACTCACAAATATGCATTTGCTGAATTAAACTTAACCTGCAACCCGTTACCCCTTCTGATAGATGCCAATGAATCAATTCATTGACAGGACAAAACAGGATACTCTGACTGAATGTTCCATTCTTGCTTAAGTACTTGTGTATCATATTTATTCACCAATAATTATTGCTGAGGTTGGGTGGTGGGGTGCCATAGTCTATAAGAATTCTCTCTCCCTTTGGGTGCCTTGGCCATCGATTTACTAGTCTGGCGTGTTTGCATCTTGTGCTGGGCCAGCAGGGCAAATTGCTGGTATGCTACTCACCCTGCAAACCATCAGTTTCCTTACCAAAGCTGACAAAGGTGGTCTTGAATAGGATGCTGCAGACTCCCAGACTGTTGGTTTTGGGGGATTTCAACATACATACAGAGGGAATCTTGTCTGGAGCAGCTCAGGGTTTCATGGCCTCCATGACAACCATGGAACTGTCCCAGCTTCCGATTGGCCAGCACTTGTGGCAGGTGCATTCTGGATTTGGGTTTTTTTTTGATCAGACATGAGGATGGTGCTCTGAGTGTGTAGATTTTTGATATAGTTCCTCTAGTAGTCATGTCATGGGCGGAGCTGGGGGTCAGACTAGATGGCCTGGGAGACCCTTTCTGACTTGCTCAGTTTCTGTGTTTCTATGTAAACCAGTGCATAGCTGCAACAATGGATTGGATGAAGGCTAACAAACGGAAGCTCAGTCCAGACAAGACTGAGATACTGTTCCTTTGACTAGATGAAGGGTGTTTAACTTGATTTGGGTGGGATTGTACTTCACTTAAAGCAGCAGGTTTGTATTTCAGGGGTTCCTGAATAGCAAGAAATGTCTTCTACCAGTTCTGGCAAATGGCTCAGCTATGCCTTATCTGGACAGGGATAGGCTGGTTTCAGTAATCTATGCTCTGGTAAATCTCTAAATTAGATTACTGCAATTCACACTGTGTTCAGTTGTCCTTTAAGACTGTTCAGAAACTGCAGTTTGTGAAAATGCAGCAGCTTGATTAATAAATGTGATCTGCCCTACTTGCATTGATTGCCTGTATGCTTCCAAGCTCAGTTCAAGGTGCTGTAATTCCTTGCACAGCTGGGGACTACAGTACTTAACAGAGCACTTCTCCCAGCTCTAATCTATCCAGAGACTAAGCTTAGCATCCATGGACTTCCTCTTAGTCCTAGTTCTGAGGGAGACTTAGAGGGCAGCAGTAAAGAGGAGGGCTTTCTCAGTGATGCCCCCCCACCCCCCCAGTAAGGACTACCTCCCCACTAAGGCCTGGCTGGCACCAAACTTTCACCATCCTTTTAGCACCAGGTTAAGATGGCCCTTTATACTTTTAAAGCCATCTAAGAAGGATGGTTTACTTTGGAGTCCTGGGGACTGGATCTGATGGCCTTCTTGGCCTCTTTCCTCTCTACTATTCTATGATTCTATATATAGATAGTCAAGGCTTGAGGGAGGGAATTACCCATCCCATGTGTTTTACAGGGCTACGCTTCATAATAATTTATTTTCCCCGTTTTCACATTTTAATTTTTGGAAATAATTTATGGTATTTTATATTGTGTTTATGAACTCTTGTAAACTACCCAGAGAACTTCAGCTATTTGGGTGGTGTAGAAATGAATCAAATAACATAATTATTTCTAATAGCTGCCTCAATCAGTACTTCCAATAACAAAAGGAGCTCTAAAGCAGTAAAAGCACTAGGACTGAACCTAGATTCTAACATATGTTTTAAAGTGCTGTTTTGATGCCAGTGGAAGGGCAGCCACTGAAAGGATCATGCAAGCGGGCAGCAGGGGGTGTTGCTGCCCCCCCCCCCCGCTGCCACACAGTGCTGGAGCCATTCCCAGTCCCCACAGACACACGAGGCTTGCACTCTGCTTCACTCCTCTTCCTGTGCAACTGCTGATCCTGACAAGATGTGTTTGGTTGAAGTTTCATTTATTAAACAACATTTACGTTGGAAACAGCTTCAGCTCTTGGGCAGGATAGAAGTTAAACAGACAATAGTGCTAGTAGTAGCAGATATTGCGTAAAGTGCCATGGTTAGCTTCCTAATGCACCAGAGGAGGCCCAGAGAACTGCTGAGTAAGTTAATCCAAGCTATGGCAGGCGGGGAAGAGCTTGGAAATGGTTCTATTCACGTGTAATGCTAAACCATACCACGCATGGCATGGTATCCTACTTTGGCTTCTGGCTTCAGGCAGGCATATGGCCTCCATGAATCACTGGTTTCCACCCTGCTCCATCTTTCCTCCGAACGGTGGCTGGCATTCCGTCAGCCCCCGTGACTGAAAATCGACCCCAGAGTGCACTGCTCCCACTTGCAGCACCTGCCTCTCCCACACAAACCCTCAGCCACCTGCCCCTTTCCCCCCTGCTGCTCAGTGGAGCAACTGTTTACTCACTAGAGTAGCAATGTTGTGCTAGAGTAGTACTAAAGTAGTACACCCTGCCTCTGCCTTGTTTTTTGCCAACATGCAAGTGCACACACACCCCTCCCCACATGTGCCCCCATGCACAAACCCAAACGTCTCCCCTACTGCCGCCCTGCTCTCTGCAGCTGAGCACCCAGAGAGGCCTCGGTGTGGCCCCCTGTGCCAGGGATGGAGGCAGCATCATACATATGTCCCAGCACTCCGGCAGGGGGCGGTAGGGGACAGTCCTGAGGAACATCGGAGACAAAATAGGAACAGAGTGGAGGGTGGGAAGCAAGGGCTTTCCTGAGCAAGCACCCAGTTGGCAATGTTGGCACGAAGCTGGCAACGTGTGTTCCTCTTGTGTAGGCAACTTTTGCAAGGGGAGAGTGCTGGCTCCACAAGCAGACCTGGTGGTGCCTGCACAGCTTGCAATGGCCACTCACCCCATGGTCACTGCTGGGCGAGGCAGCATGGCTCAGTGCTCTGTTGCCATCAGAAACCCAGGGCTGAAGGAGGCCAAAAGCAGTGTGTGGAAGAAGGAAAAAAGCAGGGCATCTAGGCCAGTCAGAGTGCTGTTGGCTGCAAGTCAGCAGTTGATGTGCACAAGCAGGAGCATCTGCGGTGTCTGTGGCTGCTCTTTGGAATACTATAGAACTGGGCTGGTCAGACTTGCTTGACGGAAAAGCCACATATGGTAAATGTCAGATGTTGCAGTGCCGCAAGACATGAACAAATACTTACTGTTAAATAAAAGGCAGTTAAGCACACAGAAAAGCAAGCAAGGGACCTGTGGTAGCAGGGGAAGGAAGATGCATCAGACACTTGGCTTTTACAAATGTTTGGAAGTGAAGGAAAGGTTAACCTATTATGTAAATGACCATTGGGACAAAATGATTGACACCCATCTCAGCTAATGCAACCCTATGCACACTTACCCCGGAGTAAGCTCTGCCAAACACAGTAGGATTTATTGCTGAGTAAACTTCTGTTAGGGTACTGCTATGCTTTTAAGCCAAAATGACTAAAAACCTTTCAGAGTGAGACCTTTCTGTTTCCTTTTTAGCTCTGAATATCAGAAGAAACAGAGCGACCGCATACTGCCACCTTGGGAGCTCAGGTGCAAAACACCACCCAGCAGCAGAAGGAACTGGAAATCTCATTGCCAGCTGCCGTGTTGGAAACTTCAGCAAGGACCCAATCCTCCCCTGGAGTGCTGCTGTCATTTGGTTCCCTCAGCTTCAGCAGGGCCTGCAGAGAAGTAGCCCGATTTTGCACACCATCCTCGAGCACAATTCTGTGCCTTGTCTGATCATGCACATCTCACCCTCCACAAACAGGCAAATAGGGACCTGCTATGCTACAGGCTCTGCAAGCTGCAAAATAAACGCAAAGAGCTGCATGCAGCTTGCAAGCCTTGGTTTGGCCACCCCTGCCATAGAAGGAGCAATGGAAACCATGTGAAAGTGTGGTTTCTAGCTTCAGGTAATAAAACAAGCCACGGGGAAGTACAGAAATCATAGAACATACTATTGTTTCTCATCACGATTCCATGGAGGCCAAATGACTGCTTGGACAAAATTAGTTGTTTGGTTCAAACATAATGCCAAGCCTTGCCACTGTGGTTTGTTATGTCTGAACCAAGATCATTACAAACACAAGACTCCCCTGTATGTAACATTGAAAGGAAAGGTACAATAAGTGCATCAGGAAATTTAGTAGCAAGACTTCAGCTCGGGCGCAGGCTTCAGCGTGGTACAGAAAGTTTTCCATTGGCTCCATCCATAGGCCTAAAGAAAAAAGAGCAGGAGACTTACTACACAACTGACATGAATAAGTGTATTCATCTGGTAAAAACTAGAATTTGTTTCCAGAGAGTCACTGATCTAACTTGTTTTCAAGGAGGCATGACTTCACCTTCACTACTTGACGATTCAGGGCATCATAATCCTGTCAATATGCAATGATTTATCTCAATAAAATATGCATTCCCATTTTAAAATATGTAGCATTCAGGCTTAAGAAGAGTGACACATATTCTGTCTTTTGCAATATTCCTAGTAGTTCTTATACCTTAAACCCTTTTCTCCTTAAACCCTTTTGCCAAGCAGTAGGAAAGTTGATATTAGCGTGGTGGGCAGCTTGTCTAGGGAACAATGGGCCAGGCCATGGTGGTAGTGTCAACTCAGAAGTTCTATCTATCTATCTATCTATCTATCTATCTATCTATCTATCTATCTATAACTTTTGTAGACCGTCCCATTACTGAAGTCTTGGGATGGTTTAACATATTATTCTCAAGAAACACATTGTAAACAGTAGGAGCTCATGTCAACTGTCTATTAAAACTTAATGATTAGTAGCAGGGCTTGTAGACTTCCCTATATTAATTGGACAGAGTTCTTTGTTCACTGTTCAGATACTGGTCTCTCTGGCAGCCTTTGCTCACCATCCCTTCTAGCAGATGGAAGGACCAAACTAGAGCTGGTGTTCAATGTGCACTTCCATCAGGTATTTAAAAATGTACATTTGGGAGAGGTGATAAGATCAGAGTGGACAAAGAGAAGAAAATTAGGGTTTTCATCCCTGGTTATGGTCTTGATGAAAATCCATAAACTGAGTCGAGCATTTGCTTTGTGGGAAAATCCCCCACTGACATTAAAGGGAATTTTTCATCCAACCTGAATAGAAGGGGGATTTTCTTCATCAAGATGATAAAGGAAGAAAAGGCTATATGACCTCTCCAGTCCTGCTTACATGCACTTAATTATCAGTGCCTACAACCTAAGGGTACAACTTGTATTAAAAATGTGTATTAGCTGCAGAGACACTTATAATAACCTCTGCATATGTGTACTCGAAGTAAGCAAACCCCACTGGAGTTAGTAGGGTTTACTTCTAGGTAAGTGGGTGGTGGATGTTCACATACAGTTGGGCCTCAGGTGTGGCTCCAGACGAAGCTCTGACTGCACCATCATCCTATAAATGCCATTTGCAATCTTTCAATGGAGGCGGGGATCCTCCTCCGGGGTCTTCCCACCATTGATTTCTACACATAGCAGAAAATCTGCTAAGGAGAAAAGGATGGAGAAACCCTGTCTGGATGGACCGCAGACTTGCTCTATGAGTGCACCAGTAGTCAGTGTGTGCCACACTAGCCACTAATACTGAGAGATGTCTCAAGTCTTGAGACAATACCCTAGTACTGCTAAGTAGGTAGATAAGTTAGCAAGAATGAAAGGTTTGGGAAAGCAGGCAGCTTGTGGACCTAGAGAGCTGCAATGAACTAAGCTCTAAGATGTAAAACCAAAATGAAAGGTGTTATAGTTAACACAAGGACTTCTATTCTCTTGTCCACATGTGCCAGATTATCAAAAAGTTTTAAGGTTTTGTTTTTGCTTAATTATTTTTATTATACAGGTAGTAAAGTTTTATTCTTTATTGTAAACCACCTTCAGTGCCATTTTTTCTTGATAAGGAAGATGGTGTACCAATCAAATTAATCAGTCAATTAAAAAATAGCTCTAAAATTAAGCACTGAGCTCCAACAAAAGCCAAGATGGGGAAGTTAAGGTGACCATTAATCACTACTATGGAATTCACTCTAAGTAGACATAGAATTACTGCATGAAAGACTCACCTTTTACACCTGCATATTTTTCTTCTCCTCCTTAGACCTTCAATTAAAAGTTTTGAAAACACAACAGTGAGTTACTGTGTTAGTACATCAAATGTTGCAGTGTTCTGCTCTTATTCATCTCTACTTCAGCTCATAATGGTTTTGTATATATTATTAACTACTGATTTTTCTTTTTTTAATAAATTTTTTATTAAAATTTTAAACTAACACTAAAAACATCAAACATCACATACATCGAATTTTGTGTGCTGCCTGCTTCTTTGGCTCTGTGAGTGCAGATGGATCAAAGAATGAACACATACCCTCCTTATCCGCTTTTCCTTCTAGCAGACTGAAGGCTGCCTTGCGGTTCAGTTCACACTTTGCATTTTAACCAACTGCTGCCAAATACATTGTAAGCTAGCTAACTTGAATATTGTGCACAATAATATTGTAAGTAAACTTAGACTTGCCATATTGCTTTGCTTGGGATTCCAAGCCTTGAGCCCATGGCCAGTGCACTACATTCGCTCAGAAAAAAACAAATTCTCTTTAAAAGGAGTTGGTATCTTGTCAGTTAGCTGTCAAACCTCTGTGCTCTTGAGAAAGAGGACAGCTCAGTTTTCTACCCTCCTGAGCACCCAGATTCTCAGAAAAATATGGAGAACTGAGAACCAGAATGGATTCAGGTTCCTTCCCAAAATAAAAGTAAAACCAAACACCCCTGCCACCCCATGATGATTTCACTGGGTTCCATCTTTCTGCTAGCAAAGATGTTCACAGCCTTGGTTCTCTTTTGACAGTTGTCAAGAGAAACCAAAGTCAAATAAAAAGCTCTTGGCAGTCTCTCTGGGAACCGTGAGAGGTACCTGTTGCATTTTGACAGCAGACACTCTGCAGGGCATTGCCAGGTGAGACATGCCATGTGAGACCTGTAGACGTGCCCAGGTTTGCCTCTTGACCACTCTTTGTATATGCTGCTTGGGCACTTTGAATGGGCTGTTACTTGCTGTCAAACTAAAGATCGTGAAAGGTGATCTCCAGAAAAGGAAAAAGTGGGGAAGCAAAAAACTATGCCATGGCGGTGGGGATGGCAGACAAGATTGGGTTTGCTACAGGTAGGGATATGCTGGGAATTTGTTTTGGGGGGCTCCCTGGATTCTGACCCGCATTCTGGTAGCCATCAGTCCAACTTGGCACTGAGTGTGCGGAGCACCAGGAATTGAACTCTGGAGGATGCTGTGCAGGCAGCATCCCTTTTCCATGTGTGTGACTTGTGGCCATTGTTTATGCTGCATGTGCTCTGGAAAAAGGTTTGAAATGTCAAAACAGCTGGAATCCCATACAGAAACATACCATACTGCGACATGATACTTTCTAATTTACTTGTGTATGTGTCTGCAAGTTCATCAGAGATCTGATTTTAATCAACCAGGTCTCACAAGTGTCTTTGTATGCATTTGTGTATGAAGATTCATTTTCTAAGTCCTCCCCCGTCCTTTTCTACATCCTTGCCAAGACAGCAATGCTTGAGAGATACAGCTACTAAGGGAGAAGGAAATGAGCATGTTCTGCAGATAGGCTTCCCTGCTCATTATGAAACAATATGCTGAAGATTATAATGTGGTGCCCTTGTGAACTCAGCCTGTAGATGAGACCGTTCACATCTAGTTTTATGCTACCCCCACTCCCAACCTCCCAAACCCAACCATCAGATAGAACTAAAAGGAAATTCTTACCACAGCACACCGAAAGGATAATCACCAAAATGATCAGGACTAATGAACCACTGGCTAAGGGAACCCAGATGTAGAGCTCACACTTTATAAGGCTCTGAGTCTCCGTCTCTGTAGAAATGACACATATTAAAATGACTCCTGATGAATAAGCTTTTCTACAATTGAAACAAAGAAACAGAGGGAGTCAGAAGGGGCCTCCTGGGCCATCTAGTCTGACCCCCGGCTCCGCTCACAACATGCCCACCATGTGCATGTCCAGCCTATCCTTGAACACCCTCACTGATGGGGCCTCAACCACCTCCCGTGGAAGCCCATGCCATACCCTTGAGGTCCTGACTGTCAGGAAGTGCTTCCTGGCATCCAAATGGAACCTTGGTTCCCTGAGCTTTGCTCCGTTGGAGCGAGTCCTGCCTTCCTCTGCAGGGGTGAACTCTGTAGCATAGTTCAAAGCTTCACCGTTGTCACAGAACTTAACCTTGGGTTGCACCATTTGAAGCAGGAAGAGGACAACACAACCATTCTTAAATGCACACTGCAGGACAAAGTGCAGTAAAATATGACACTTTTTCTTCACTTTGCTATGTATGCCTGCAGGAAGGTAATTCCACTCACAAGTAGCAATTGTGTATATAATAAAACAAAGTCTTTAAGACGTAACACACTAACACAAATACCCCTCTAGACATGGAAAAATATAACCACATAAATCTGACACAGTTTATGGAACATTTTTTCTTGCTAGGAAATTGTACCCACAAAGAAAATGTTCATAATATAGGCCTGGTTGGACAGGACCAGTCACATAGTCTTGTCATATAGGCCCATAAACAAATCACAAAGCAAAAATAATTCCCAGTTTGTCCCAGTTTGTTTCATTATCATGATGAATAACCATTGATTGACTTATCCTCCATGAAGGTAGATTTAAACTAATCTAAGCAAGTGACCAGCACCACATCATGGGACAGTTACTTTAGCTAGTTATTTTTAGTCAATTAAAGAACTATTTTAATTAATGAACAGAAAGCATGTGTTTGGGCACTATCGGAAAAAGCTCATCAAGAGGGCTTGAAACATACAGGGGAAGGAGACATGCGGCATGGCATACCATCACCTGACAAAGATTTGTGTATTTCAACCATGAAAAAACTTCAAGCAGGGCCCAGAACCAGTCTCCCAAAAAAACAGAGGAAGAAAACCAGGGCACAAAGAAAATGAACTTCAGTGTCTCTACACCAATGCCCAGAGTATGAGAAACAAACATGGACTTGTGCTCATGGTACATGAGGGCAAGTATGATTTTACAAGAATCACTGAAGCTTGGTGGAATGACTCACATGACTGAAACTTTATAATTAATGGATACAACCTGTTCAAGAAAAATAGAAAGGACAAACAGGGAAGCTGAAGTCACTCTATAGATAAAAGGCACATATAACTGGGCAGAAGTATAAGAAGAGGGACTCAGTAGTTCCACTGAAAGCATCTCACTTAATTTAAAGGGAGCAAAAATAAGAGAAACATAGTTATTGGTGCCTATTATTGGCCACCCAGTCAAAAAGAGGACCAAGATACAACCTTTGAAAAGCAACCTGCCAGAGTTTCCAAGAAGAATGATGTAGTCATTATGGGGACTTCAATTACCCTGATATGTGCTGGGAGACAATTTCTGGCAAAGATGGTCCCTCCAAGAGATTCCTGACATGTGTTGCAGACAATTTCCTCCAGCAGAATGTAGAGGAAGGGATGAGAGGAACCGCTATCCTCAAATTAATACTAACAGGGATGACCTAGTGGGCAAAATAACAGGCATGGGAACCCTGGGAGGAATTCTCAATTATAAAGGAGACAAAGGTTAACTACAGCCAAACACATAACCTGAACTTCAAGAAAGCCAACTTTAATGACATAGAAGTCTCCTAAATAAATAAATAAATAAATAACTCAGAACAATGATAAGTGAGCTGCCATAGAAACTCACTCTTAAAAAAGAAAAGGAGTCCAATAGGGGTGGGAAATCTTGAAAAAGAAGATTTTTCAACAACGGACAATTCCAACAAGCAAAAAGTGTAGAAGACAACAGAGGAAGCCCATGTTAAAGCACTCTTTACCACAATATAGATTACTGCTTCCTAAAAGGAAGTTGCCATTGGGCATTGCCAAAACATATGAAAAGAAACATTACACCACCAACAAATGGCCAATTTAATCGAGTTATTATTGAAGAGACATTGTGGCATCCAGTATATTTGAAACATCTGTTATTGCTGAATTAAGCCTAGCCTAAGATCCATAACCCCTTGCAAAACAGATAATAGTGACTGGGTAAAATAGGGTACTCCCGTTTATTATTCCATTCTTGGCTAGGATCCTATGCATCATCTTTACTCACCAATAACAGATATTTATGCACATGAATTGTAGGTCGAGGTAGCTGTTTGGCCTCAGATGGTACTTCCAGTAATGCAGGCAGCTGTGAAGCTGTAAAAGCACCAGAAACAAACCTGGATCCTAATAAATGCATCCGTTGCTTATATTGCCATGCAGCCATTGCTGGTAATTGATAGCATGCAATGTGGAAAATGGCCAAAAATTTATTGTCAGGATTGACAGGCCGATCCTAAGTAAAAATCATCCTGTACGTCCAAGTACACCAGGCAAATGTGTTCTTGTCAATCTTGAAATCTGGATTTCTTCATAAAGTTAATTCTGTATGAGAAAATACATATATACTGCCGCTCTCTAGTTGTCACAACTGGAGGAGGAACATTATCCATTTTGGTATGATGAGAGACCAACACAATCCATTTGGAAAGTGAACCTAGAATGAAAATTCCAAAGCTGAATGGGGAGACCAGGGAAAAGAATGTAATCTACATGGAAAAGATCTAGTGCAAGTCAAGAGGGGGAAATGGCAACTTGATGAAGCAGCAGCAAATGTTGCCACTTTGGGTGACTATAAATCGCCCCGAGGGGTGTTTACCTCTCTAAATGACAGGTGAGTATCAAGACTCTCCATCTACAGCTCTGATTTCACTGAAATGGCCTGATAAGGTAATACTGGAAACAGTAAATAAAATGTCCCCCCCCCCACACACACACACTTACTCTTTCTTTTTTCTTTTCTTTTCATTTTTCTTTTAGTTTTATTATTTCTTTTTATATTATGACATTTTCTTTGCCAAGGGAATAGCACACCAATTTGATGCAGCTTGAACTCCTAAGGCATTTTTGTTTACCTATTTTGAAGGGACTTTGAAACGGATAATCTTTTGTTGACAGAAGGCATTTCTCCACTCTAGAACTAAGCATTATGAATACTGTAAACTGACCTTGGTATGAAAATATTAGCTGGGTAGAACATTTCCTGGTGATCATTTGGGGCGTAAATTGCCACCAAAAGCACCTTTTTAAATTTCACTGTAGCTTCAACCACCAGAATCCTACCATCTTTGTCAGCCAGTATATATTTGGGGTCTAATTTTTCCTTGATGTATAATGCTAAACCCTTTTTCTTTTGAGAAGCGGAGGATATAAATAGCGTTCCAAGCTTTGAGCATTCCAAGAGTTTACTGTGTTGTTTCTTGATGTATGTTTCTTGTAGACAAATTATATCTAGCTTCAGTTTTTGGAGTTGAGAGAAGGTCCTTCTCCTCTTAGAAGGTCCATTTACATTTAGAGAAAACAATTCAATTCTTCCTTCCATTTTAAGAGTCATATTTAAAGCATATATATTTATCTACTTATGTTTTGCCTTTACACTTCTACCTTTTCTCTTTTCTTTTGGTTCCGATGTTTGTTCGTCTTGTTGTGAGTCTGTATTCCCTATTTCTCCTTCTTCAGAGTGATATATTGTTACTTCCATTGCTTCAGCGCCTTTTCCTCCTTCTTCTTGTACATCCGATTCTTCATCTTCAAATGAGCTTCTGAATTTTTCATAAAACTCTTGTGCTTTGTAAATTGAATCCAACTTATATCTTGTGGAATTCCTGGTAAAGAATATTCCTTCTGGCGTTAACCACCTATACATAATCTCCTTCATGGTCAGCTTTGTGGTAAGGAATAAATATTTCTTTCGTCCTTCTCTGATCCTCCATGGTATTTGTTTCAGGACAGTCACCTCATGGTGATTGTCGATTTTTAAAGGTTTATCATGTACAGCCCTCAAAACATTATCTCTTACAGACCTTTTTGCAAATTTAACATGAATTTCCCTGGGAAGTTTGTGTTTTCTAACATAAGTTGAATTAACTCTATAAACAAGGTCAATATTTGCATCCACCTCTTTGTTTTCCAAATCCAATGCATCTGCCAGCATGGTAATTATTAATTCCCTTAAGTCTTCATCCTTTTCCTCAGGTATGTTCTGGAATCTTAGATAATTGGATGCCTTCTCCATCTCTAATATAGTGACTGAGTCCCATAGTGACTTATTTGTTTGTTTTAATAGTTGTGTTTCTTTGTCTACTGTTTCAATTTTTGCATGGGCTTGTTGTATTTTTTGTATATTCTGTTCAATTTTGAGTCGAACATCTGTCAATTCATTAGATACATCCCTAACAGAGCTGTCCAATTTATCCAATCTTTCTCTTTCTTCCATTGCTGTGTTCTTTTGCTCTGCTATCATGTTCTTTTGTTCTAAGGTCAATTTTAATATAGAATTTTGCCTGGCCTCTTGAGATGCTTGCACCAATGTTAGAGATGCTTATATCGCCAAAAGTGTCATTTGTAGATCTTTTTGGTATTTTTCAACATCTGCAGTTTTGGATGGATGAGTTGGACTCTGGGTAGCTGATGCAGGTGCCGAGGAGGAGGAGGGGTGTGTTTTGTTTCATAGTGATAGAGATTTTGCTGGTAACTACAGTGACAGCAAAGAAAAATCCTCCAGAGAAAGGGGAAAAAAAAAGGGAAGGAGAAGGCTTGTTTAACACACAGTATATCTGTTATAAGTAAAATGGCCACGGGGTGGCAGCAGAGAGTTGTTTGTTGGTGTAACGTCAGCAAAGTGTCTCTGAGGGCCGTGTAATCAGCAAGTAAGAAGAAAAGCTTTTCTATCATTTAATCTGCAATAATTTCTATCTTGATTCTTTGCCCTTGGGAGGTTAAAG